TAGTTCCTGATATAGGTCAGTAGTTCCTGATATAGGTCAGTAGTTCCTGATATAGGTCAGTAGTTCCTGATATAGGTCAGTAGTTCCTGATATAGGTCAGTTGTTCCTGATATTGGTCAATAGTTCCTGATATTGGTCAATAGTTCCTGATATAGGTCAGGATAGTTCCTGATATAGGTCAGTTGTTCCTGATATTGGTCAATAGTTCCTGATATAGGTCAGGATAGTTCCCGATTTCTTAGTATTACGTCGGCAATAATTTACATCAAAGATTGTTACAAAAGATGCTAGACTTGAAAATTTGTCCTAAAACTTTATTGTATTTAAGGTTCTGGGAAAGGACTGTACGCGGATAGTAGTATAGGGGAGGGAATGGATATCACCATAGAGGGAGAACCAACATTCCAGGTAAATCTATCTATCTATCCATTTACAGGGTGTCCCAATAAACATGAGAAAAAAGAGACGACTTAAAAATCGTCTTCGATTCATGAAAGTTGTTAAATGACAAAAAGTGTACAAAAAAAACTGGACGTTTTGTGAGCTTTTGAATATGTGGCCTGCCTTCTTTGTATCTTCAAGATTGACGGAGATATTCAACATTTAAGAGATTTCGTTGTTTTTTATTTAATAAATTAGAATCTGGACTGATATCTGAATATCTCCGTCAATGTTGAAGGTGCAAATATGGTAAACCACATTTTGGAATTCCCAAGACCAGCGATTTTAAATATTAACTGTTTCAACTGTGTTCACGTAATAATGCCACGCGGAACAAAGACGATTTAAAAATAGTCATGTAAATTCTCATGTTTATTGGGACACCCTGTAATTATCTTTCTATCTATTTATCTATCAATCTATCTATCTTTCTATCTAGGGGGTGAAGGAATGCTGTAATGACTCTGTGCACTCCGGAGACTCTGGTTGGCGGAGGTCAAAGGCTCGGAAGTCTGGCTCCGTTGAGGAGATGGAGTTCGACGAGGGGAAGGCAGAGATTGATGATGTTGTTTCCTATGTCGAGGAGATTAAACAGGTACAACGGGACCCATAAAACATAATAAACTAGACTGAAAACAAAACTGTGACTACAAAACCAAAATGCCAACTTGAAAAAATGAAATGGCGACTTGAAAACCAAAATGACAATGACAATTAGAAAAAAATGGCGACTAGAAAACAAAATGGCGACTTAAAAACCAAAATGACAATTAGATAAACAAAATGGCGACTAGAAAACAAAATGGCGACTTAAAAACCAAAATGACAATTAGAAAAACAAAATGGCGACTAGAAAACAAAATGGCGACTAGTAAACAAAATTATGAAAAGAAAAAATTGCTACTTAAAACCAAAATGGTGAATAGAAACATGGCGACTAAAAACCAAAATAACAACTAATAAAAAATGAAGACAAAAAATCGATCATTTAGATCATACAAAAAATAATCTCTAGGTTGAGGAAGTACTTTATGACCCCGTGGATGATATAACTGTTGAGGACTGCTGTCCCCCCGTCTGTTACCGTGTCTGTCCCTGCTGTCTAGGAGACATTGACTCACCCTTCTGGCAGCTGTGGTACAAACATAGGCTTCAAATTTCCAGGTATCTATCTATCTATCTATCTATCTATCTATCTATCTATCTATCTATCTATCTATTTATTTATCTATCTATCTATCCATCTATCTATCTATCTATATGGTTTATTTTATTAGGATTTGCCATAATTTCTGCAAGAAGTTTACCTTTCTAAATAATAAGTAAAGAATTGCCTCAGTAACTGTAGTTTAATGGTCGGTATGGTTTCTGAAATAAGGAAATACTATAATTTATTGCTACAATTTCTAAAGTACGGTTTATTAGAATGATTCCTATAACTTTGCAAAAAAATAAGTTTAAAGAATTGCTTAAAATATATAAATCTCATTTGATGCCTTATTAGACTTCTGTCATGTCTTGGATTTGGTAACTTATCGAGGTTGAAACTCTAATCCTCCATACCAAATCCTCTAATCCTCCTTACCAAATCCTCTAATCCTCCATACCAAATCCTCTGATCCTCAAATCCTCTACTCTATTTAGATTGATCGAGGACAAGTACTTCGAGACCGTTGTGTTAGCGTTGATTCTTCTCAGCAGCTTTGTCATGACCTTGGAGGATGTTTGGTTCGAGACGAGGCCGTTACTGGTCGATTCTTTGTACTATTTAGACAGAATACTTACAGTCGTCTTCTTCTTAGAAACCTGTCTCAAGGTACTAGTTTGAACTATACTTTACTGTACTGTACTGTACTTTACTATACTATACTGTACTTTACTGTACTGTCTTGTACTTTACTGTACTGTACAGTACTGTACTATACTATACTGTACTGTACTGTACTGTACTGTACTGTACTGTACTGTACTGTACTGTACTGTACTGTACTGTACTGTACTGTACTGTACTGTACTGTACTGTACTGTACAGTACTGTACTGTACTATACTGTACTGTACTGTGCTGTACTGTACTGTACTGTACTGTATATTACTGTACTGTACTGTATTTTACTGTACTATTAGTAGTATTTTTATTACTATCGGATGTTTCTGTAAAAAGAACCAGATATTTCTTTTGAAAGGATTAGACTATCACAACAGTAATTTAGTAACATATGAAGTCGATAGATTTATATAAAGTTCCCTTTTTACCCTTTTCATTTTTCTTTTTCGGAGTTAACAAATCAGGTTTATTTCTGGTTTCTTTTAGTTTTAACATAATTTTACCCAATTAGGAGGGATGGGATTTTTATGTAAATAAGTTTCCAAAATGGAATCATCAAAAATTTAATTGTTTCAAAAATCTTTGTGTGCACTGTTAAAAGAACCATTGAATTATAAATATATGACTTAGAAAAATGTTGGGACTGAGGCCTATCAATTGGTGGGGGTCATAGATTAATTAAAATAACAAATAGGACACTGGATGTCGTCTTTTCAAGATTTGGATGAAACTCGTTCATAATAACCCTGAGGCAGAAGCCCAGAGGAGTTTCGCGCAGTCGGCGTAGAACAGAATCTTTGTGTCTTGCAATTCTACACCAACCACATTCCTCTGCCGCTTCAGTCATTGTAAATTGGCGGTACAGTCCAAATTAGGACTACAAAGGTTGACCCAGCTCGGATATTCAAATGTACACCGGGAGGACGTGCGACTTCGCAAAACTCCTCAGGGCTTTTATTTTAATTAATCTACGGGCGGGATGCTGCTGGGAGGGGGGGGGGGTAGCTTTTTGAAATAGAATCGATAAAAATCAATTGTTTTTGGAAAATCGTCATATGCACAACACACTGTTGAAGAAACAATTTTGATCTATCTTACTGTAAATTTGAAAAGGTCAAATTTATGTGATATAAATGATACACGTTAACTTCACTAGAAAGGGATCATTCATTTGGCGTACCGTCCTGTTTTGCCTTGTATAGTCTGTATTTATACTGTACAGCTTACTTTAGCTAGTTGAAATTCGGCCCGGTACAATGAAATGAACTGGAATATACAGTGGGTATGGCTTTGTGACATATTGAAATATAAACATAGATAAAGTATGAATGTTCTTCCCAAATACTTAATTTCCATACTAATATTTCTTTTCCTGTTCCATCATAATATTTCTTTTTCCGGTTCCATCATAATATTTCTTTTTCCGATTTCATCATAATATTTCTTTTTCCGGTTCCATCATAATATTTCTTTTTCCGGTTCCATCATAATATTTCTTTTTCCGGTTCCATCATAATGTTATTTTTTCCGGTTCCATCATAATATTTCTTTTTCCGGCTCCATCATAATATTTCCTTTGTGTTGGCTTGTTGCACCAAACATATAATTAGCCAGATCTGAGATATATCTATCCATCTATCCATCTATCTTTCTATCTTTACATTTAATATTTTTGTAACCAGCTTTCTATATCTCTATCCATTTATCCACTTATTTACTAACGGAAGAAATATGTACTAAGAAAGGGTTGCTTTCTCAAAAGTTACCAGAAATTAACATCAAGATTTATGAATTTTGCTATTGATCAAAACACTTAATAAACTGTAAGTAGGAATCACCAAAAAAGTCTGATATTGATTTAAGACTTCAATAAAAGATTTTCTAACTAACACTATGTTTGCTAAGGTGCTGGCTATGGGTTGTGTGGCGTACTTCAGCAACTCTTGGTGCTGGCTCGACTTTGTCATCGTTGCAGTCTCTATCATAAACTTCACCGCCTCCCTCCTCGGAGCAGGAAACATCCCGATCTTCAAAACTATGAGAACTTTGAGAGCGCTCAGACCGCTTCGTGCCATGGCGAAGATGGAGGGCATGAAGGTTGTGGTCAACGCTTTGGTCGGTGCGCTGCCCAGTATCTTCAACGTGTTGTTGGTCTGTCTCATCTTCTGGTTGATCTTTGCCATCATCGGTGTGAATACCTTCATGGGGAAGTACCAGCGTTGTGTGGATGAAGATAGCGGGGAGAGGTTCAATCATGAAATAATTCCTAACAAGACGGTGTGTCTCAATGAAACAGGAGGTTTATGGGTCAACCCAGTGTAAGTAATTTTAATAAGTACGTTATTGCCAATTTTTATTCATTGTATATTTTTGAAACTAACTTAACTCTTTAATTTAGGATATCCTTTGATAATGTGTTTCTTGCCTATCTTGCCCTGTTTCAAATTGCCACCTTCAAGGGTTGGATGGATATTATGGATGCTGCTGTGGACAGTACAGAGGTAAATATCTATAGTTACAAGCTCTCCAAAGCGAAACAATAATTTAAAGTCTACCAATCCTTAAAAATTGATGCAACTATTGTTGCAGACTAGATCTATATATATCAGATTATAGTTACAAACTCAAAATTTAAAAATGGACTAATTGTTTTCTATTTCAGTTGAATAAACAGCCATTCCGAGAGAATTCGCTTTACATGTATCTCTTTTTTGTTCTCTTCATCGTGTTTGGATCCTTCTTCACCCTCAACCTGTTGGTCGGTGTTATCATTGACAAGTTTAATGAACAAAAGAACAAGGGCGGATCCTCACTTGACGCGTTCATGACTGAGGATCAGAAGAAATATATTGCGGCAATGAAAAAGGCGGGAAATAAGAAACCAGTTAAGGCGCTGCCGCGACCCACGTGGGGACCTCAAGCAATCGTTTTTGGAATTATCACCAATAAGAAGTTTGATATGATAGTCATGGGCTTTATTGGTCTCAATATGGTAAGAAAATCAGCAAAATTTAAGAAAGTTCACAAATAACTCGCTTTTAATAATTCACTTTTAATAATTCACTTTTAATAATTCACTTTTGATAATTCACTTTAATAATTCGCTTTTAATAATTCACTTTTAATAATTCAATTTTAAGGTGTGTATGATGTGTGATCATTGGAAACAAAGTGCTCAAGCAACTTTTGTCCTCAACAATCTGAATCTTGGGTAAAATACTTTTATCATTTTTATTAAAAAATTAGAATGCTTCGCGCCTTTTGTTTCGTCGTAGTCTTTTTTTGGTTCTTTTACTTTAGGAGTTTATTTTCTAAGTAACAATTAACTAATGACCAAAACACAGATTTTATGAAAAGTAACACTTTATAACTTTCTAAAAGCGTTTGATTCATTAATTATTCAAAAAAATATTGGTCATAATTTTTCTTTTATTTAGATTTATTGTGATATTTACATCTGAGATGTTAATGAAGATGTTTGCACTTCGGCATCATTACTTTGCCGAGCCCTGGAACATCTTTGACTTTGTCGTTGTCATGCTCTCCCTCGCCTCCCTCTTCCTAAGTGACCTTATAGAGAAGTATTTCGTCTCCCCAACCCTTCTCAGAGTTGTCAGAGTAGCAAAGGAAAATATTCGAAAATTTTTTTTTTATTTAAAAAAATAAAAAGAATAAAAAATTCTTGATTTTTTTTCTTGTTTTATATCTTATTGTATTAAATCCCCGAAAATTCTTAATTAATAAAATCCTTGAATATTCCTTGACTGTAGGTTGGCAGAGTGCTCCGTTTAATCAAGGGAGCTAAAGGTATCCGAACCCTCCTCTTCTCCCTCATCATGTCTATGCCGGCCCTCCTCAACATCTGCCTCCTTCTCTTCCTCGTCATGTTTATCTTTGCCGTGTTCGGCATGTCCCTGTTTAAGAATGTTCAGATTCGCGGCGGTTTCAATGATGTTCACAACTTCAAGACCTTCTTTAAAACATTTATCCTACTTTTTCAAATGGCGACTAGTGCAGGTTGGGATGGAACCCTTAATGCTATCTTTGATGATACTGATTGTAAGAAGCCTGATGCAGAAATAGGTAATTTGTCAAAATTAGTCCAAACAAAATGGAGCCCTTTAAAAAAAGGAAATAAAAGAATTTTAAATAATGTTAATAAAAGAACTGAACCACACTGAGCTACTTCTACATTTATAAGAAATTCTCAAATGTCCAAGCCTAAATTAAGAATACTTAAAGCAACAATCTATTGTTTAATTTTTTATTAATCTCAGGAGAAACGGGAGATTGCGGAACTTTTGGGGCCGGAGTCGTTTTTATGATTGCTTATCTAGTATTAAGGTAATTAAATAATTATTATTATTTTATTATTATTATTATTATTATTATTATTATTATTATTATTATTATTATTATTATTTCTAAGTGATAGGAAGTAGTTATTAATTAGTATTAAAACTATTTTTTCAGTGAGTAATGAATTAAGTGGAATAACAATTATTTTTCAGTTCATTCCCCCCTCCCACCCCCCACACATTGTAACAGTTCTAGTAGTGCCCCAGACTAATTTTAATTCCTAATATGCAGCTTAAAATTTTATTCAATTCCCATATTTATTGGGACACTCTGTGTATATCCACAACCCGTCCAATAATCTCAATATCTGAAATTTTGTATTTAATATTATAGAAAATCTGGGAACTAATCTCCATCAATGTCAATCGATTTTTATCTCATGCATTGTTGCTTCTAACCTGGATAAATTAACTACAGGGGAATTTTGTAAACGTAGAGTGAAAACTATAAAAGATTAGAACAGAAAATGTTCATTGGACTATTTTTGATCATAATCGATCATAATTGATCATAATCAGAGTCTAGCAGTCGTCTTCCTAGTCCACATTTTTATGGGTCCCACTGTAACAAATTATGATCTTTATTTTAAAGGGATTTTTTACCTTTTTAAAAATACACAAAACATTTAATTTAAAATTAAAACTGAGTCTGGAGCGCTAGACTGTCCAAACCCCTATTTCTAATGCAGAAGAAGACTGCAGTTTTATTGTCAATTTTGCGGATGTCTTCGAAACTTTAGACTTAGGTTTTTTTTCCTCTCAATTTTGCGAAAATTTGTTTGCGGTTTGCTCGAAAATTTGCCCACAGTAGCAAAATTGCGTATTTTGAATTTTGATTAATGTGAAATTTAACACCAGAATGAAAACAAAAATTAGCCTTAAATTTGAAAACTTGAATAAAGCGGGACGAAGCAGCGTGAATTTCTTTGTGTAATAAGGTTGCAAATAGGCTGGCTATTAGGAGGGTTTATGAAGGAACAGTATGCTTGAGTAAGTAGCTAATGAGACATAAAAGATGATAAAAAACAAACATAATAAACTGCTTTCTCTAGTTCCTCTAATTTCTCTTAAAAGTCATAAATTATTTGAATTGACATATCACAGGAAATGAATCTTTGACACAAATTCAAAGTCCTAAGTCTTTGCAACCAGATGAGGTCAACCTTTGCTATTTCAAACATTTTCATCCATCAGAATTTATAGCTTGAAATATCAAAAGTCTACGACATCGCGTTGCAAAGATATCAAGATTGGAAAATTAGAGTTTGTGGCAAAAACTCGCTTTGATTGTTTATATTTCGCCTCAACCCTTTTTTCTTTTTAAAGGTCCTATTTCTATATTGGTGTGTTTAGATTTGTAATTTTTGATGCGTATAAGGGCTTTGTATGTAAATTAATAATATGAGTATGTATGTAGGGGTGAGTGAGTGTGTGTATGTTAGTTAATTTTGTTTAGCTTGGCTTGTGGTTTGGTTTGAAAAACTGGTACTATGGGGGAATTACAGTTTTTTTGTCTTTATAATGATAAAATTAAGTAATTAAATAAAACTCTGAATGACATCAAGGAAGGTTATTACAAGAAATGACTTGCTAAATACTTCTGACAATATTACACGTTAAACCTCAAAATTGCAAGATAAAAAAAAGAATTTTTTTGAACAAAAATATTTGGGATATATTCATGAACTTATTAAAGGAACTGTAAACGTTATTTCAAGTGAGCCTCCATGCAAGTATGACAACGCCTGATTCACAACGGTACCCTTTAAAGCTTTGTCTGATCAAGTATGAATTATATATCAATGTTTATAATTTTAACAACAAATTATTTTTAATCGACTCGCGCATTTTTACTGCAGGAAAATTTTTAGGAATTTCCAGATTTAAACACTATTAAACCTCCTTAAAATTTTCCATACTACTGAACATATAAAGATTTTAATGGTACCGTGGGTAATCGAACATTGCCATCTGTGCATGTAGGACTCTTGAAATTACTCTAACAGCTAACAAAAGTAGACGGTTATCAAAAATCAAATCCATAAACTTATCGGGTAAAAAAAAACTATTAAAAGCAAATAATAAGTCATGGTTTGTAAATAAAAAAAATGTCTGTAAACAAATCTAATAGTAAGTAAATAAGTCGATATTGATAAATTAGTAAGTCAAAGGAAAGAAATATTTTGAAAAAAGAATAAGTATTTTTTTCAAATAAGTGTATTTATTAAAAAAAATTAATAACAAATATTTTTCAGTTTCCTGATTATCGTGAACATGTATATTGCTGTCATCCTGGAGAACTATAGCCAGGTCAGTCATTTATTCATTCATTCATTCATTCATTCATCCTTTCATTCGTCCTTTCATCCTTTTTATCCATTTATTCATTAGCTCATCCTTTTCCTTGTGTATTCGGTGTTTTTTTTCATTTATATTCATTCTTCCATTTTTCTATTGATTGATTGATTGATTAAAGTTTGTAATCCCCATTGATTGATGATATTTCACTGATTGATTAAAGTTATTAAAGTTTGTAATTCATTGATTGATGATATTTCACTGATTGATTAAAGTTATTAAAGTTTGTAATTCATTGACTGATGACATTTCATTGATTAATTAAAGTTTTTAATCCATTGATTAATTGATTGATTAAAGTTTGTAATCCATGTAGGCCACGGAGGATGTCCAAGAGGGAATCACTGATGAAGATTATGATTTATTCTACGAAATCTGGCAGGTTAGTTTCACCCAGTGAGTAATTGAGTGTGTAAGAGAATAATTGAGTAAAGAGTGAGTGTTTGAATGAGTGAGTGAGTGAATGAACGAGTAAGTGAGTAAGGGAGCAAGTTAATAAGTGAATGAGTGAGTGAATAACTAAGTCAGTAAGTTAGTGATTACTGCATTTCTCATTACATTTTGTTATTTAAAAAAATTATTTAGGAATTCGACCCAGACGGCACACAGTACATTGACTACAAGAATCTTTCCGAGTTTCTGGATGTACTTGAGTTACCATTGCAGATACCCAGACCTAACAAATTCAAGATTATTCACATGGATATTCCTATAGTTAGGTAGTCCTTTAGTCATTCATGTAAAAGCATGGTTTTTAAAAGTCATTTATTTCTATGTTTGGTTATGGTTGATTCTGAATCACTTAAGTGACTAAGAAAGACCTAAGGGTTTCAAAATTGCAAATCATAAAGACACTATTTTAATAGAATAGAAGCCTAAGCATAATCGGTGATCTTAAACCATGATTCGTTTATAGATGGACAAGTCCTGAGTCTGGAGAGACAAAGGAGGATATGGTGTTCTGTACTGATATCCTTGATGCTCTCACACAGGACTTCTTTGCAAGGAAGGGAAATCCAATAGAAGAACCTTCCCATGTAGAGGAGGTTAAGGTAAGCTTTGATGATTAAGTGGAATATTATAGCTCAAGCAATTCTTTTATGTCATCACAATATAATGTTGTTGTTGTTATAGCCATTGAATCATAATAGCGTATTCAGACACAATCACAATCTAATCATTTGTTTTTTCCAGGTCACTACATTTGCGGACAGACCAGGTTATGAAAGAACCTCATCCTCTCTGTGGAAACAACGAGAGGAGTACTGCGCCTCATTAATACAGAAGGCGTGGAAGGTGCACAAGGTCCGGGCTACCGGAACCTCGGTCAGCAAGGTTGACGACCCCGTAACCTCTGATGATGAAGGGCCTAGTGAAGCCGGAGGGTCAAATAGTAAACATTTAATAGAAGTCAAATCAGCTATAAGCCCGACATAGTGAAGTAGATAGACACAGAGCTAATGTGATATTGAAGCTGATATACATATGTCCCCAGAACAAAATATAAATGTATATATATATTCTTAGTCTTGCAAGAATATATATCTATATATTTATATTTAAATTTCCCAAGAACAGTCTCTACTTGGCTGAATCCAGGTAAAACTAAAAGAAAGTTTACAAAGCCTAGCTAACATTTTCAACTTTTAAACTTGTCTTCATGGCTTTACTTTTAGGCCAGAAATGAGATTGCCCTACAGTGTTAACTGTCAAAGCAGGAAAGGAGAAGTGCAGTTTGCGGCTCCCTTCCCAAAGGGTCAGCTTAGTAAAAATTTGCTACGTGATAAAAAGGTCTATATATAAAAGTTATGAACTGTACACCCCTGCTTATCAGTCCCTCAGCTAGTCTCGACCTACAACAGTTAAAAAAGTGCCTTAAGAAGGTATATATGGAGTTCTAAGTAACTGTTAACTAGACCTCTGCGCTCTCCTACACTACCTAATGGAAGAAAGACAACCCCGGGTGGGGGGTTAACTTGCATCTAGAATGCACTGTACATAAAAGTTCGGTGATAGACCAAGTCAATTGCCTGGAGTTCTCTCTCCACGAGGAAAACTGCGCAATTGCGCCACATGCTCAAAACCAGTCTTACTCATCCCGCGCCAGGACATTTATACATTAGTCAACTCTATATGGACCACCCGACTTCCATTCATCGGAAAAGGGAGACGGGTGGCAAATTTTTTTAAACAGCAGAAAATTCCTGATAATGAACACACTTCTGGCTTGATAGCACTTACTTAAATATAATTTTCTGTTGAGTAAAAAAGTTTGAAATACTATAAATTAGATTATTTATTCAGCTTGAATTGTTATTTGAACAGAAATGTTGATGTTTTTGCTGATATTATTGGCTGTTTACTACTGAGTACAGTATGGCCCTGCTTTGCGTATTGTACAAGGAATAATTAGTCGCCATGACAAACCAAACCAAACTTTAAACACGTGTCAGCAACATGGCGTGCTGATTGTGCAATTTGGTCCGAGGCAAGAAATTAAACTTAGAAAAATCTAGTAACATTTTGGCCATTGCATTGCTCATTTTGAAACAATCACTCAGAGATTTGAGAGCTTTTTAAATTGCAGACAGTTTTTAAAAATTACTAAGCCCCCATATTCTATCATTGATGACAATCATACCTTAAGATTTATGTGTTAAAGTGTTTAAAATTGTTTAAATTGTTTAGGTGTCCGAACAACCTATACACCGTTACATATATTATTCTAAATTTTATCAAGATATTTATTGTCTCAGCCTTTCTTTGTGATTTTTATTGATTTTAGGCGTTATTAAACTAAATAGCAAAATAAAGGGTATTTCATTTTTTTCTAAAATAACCCAAAAAATCTTCTCATAATGGTTTATTATAAATACCGGTGTAAATTTTTTTTCAAAGTTGTGAACAGGAAGATAAAATTCTGTCTTTTTTGATTTGTAACAAATTAAAATGTGGAGCTTTTTTGTCAATTTTTAATATGGCCTAATGCTGCACCCTGGCCAGTTATTGGCCCAAACAGAGATCTAAATTGCTCATTTATTAAAAAATATTTTTTTTCTACAAATAAGCTTTAATATGCTTTTGTGATACAGATGCAGATAATACAAATTTTTCTTATCTATTATCTGCTAGGTTTGGTTGCCGCTAAATCAGCTGTTTGGGAACAAATGCGCGAGCATGCTCTCCGGCAATGTGCAGAATAACCGCCATTTTGGCAAATTGTCCGAAAGAGTGGTTTAACTTAAATATTGTTTGGTTTGCTGCATTTATTTTCAATATGTTGTTCAGAGGATTGTTTTAGACAGTTACACTGAAGATATGAAAACATTTGTGACACAACCAGAGAAATAGATTTCAAGGAATTATATGAATTTATTATTTATTTATAAATTAAAAGTTAAGCATATAATTCTAAAATTTATATATTTCGTCTGTTCTAAAATGTTGAAATTTCTTCCACAAATATTGATATGACATACCTTAAGTGGAATATTAATGGCAGGAGTTATTTCGTCAGTATTTCTTCTTAAACAGTCAAAGAAATCAACACCAGCGATCCAAGCGGTCAAATTATGAACTAGTGCGCGAAAATGGAAATGTTTTGACTGTTTCTTTATACAATTCTAAAAGATTTTTGGAAAATGTACTCACTTCACCTCAATTCATTATTCTTAGCATAAGCTGTTCTCTAAACATTGTTGTACAACGTTAATTGTACATGGAACTTAAGTACAACATTTGTACCACCTGTGTACAAAAGGAATTAGATATTTGAATTTGATAAGTCTAGCACATTGCTTTTAGAAAATATTAATAGGTACTGCTAGATAATATAGGAATATAAAACTTTTTTAATTCATGCCTATAAACATGTTTCTTCTGTGACCTACTATTTTGCCTTTCTCTAAATAGTTATAACGGTTACATTGACAATTAACGTTGTACCAGTACGTTTTAGAGAAAAACAGATAATTCTAAAAAATAGCATTTTTATTTTGAAATAAGTTTGTGAGTAAACTTGAGCTGAAGAGGTACTTTTTCCAGGAATTTGGTAATTAATATTAATTAATATTAATATTAATCAGTGATTATTATATTATTATAAATAGCTTTGTAAATCAGAAAACATGTTTTGTAATAAATATTATTAGAATCATTTTTAATCATATGTCAAATGAAAAATCTTTAAAAATTTGATGAACTCTATAATTAATTTTGATTTCTTGATTTTTTTTTCAATTAATATTTCAGTTAACAGTTTATTTTTGTGGCGAATTCTCTAAATTTTATTATTTTTCTCAAACAGCCATGTTTTATAGAAGAAAGGTAATTGGTAAAATGTATTCCTTGTGTCAAAGAAACTATTCCAAACCCCACTAGAAGTAATAGAGGAGGACGACATTAAGAAACTATTCCAAACCCCACTAGAAGTGAACAGAGGAGGACGACATTAAGAAACTATTCCAAACCCCACTAGAAGTAATAGAGGAGGGCGACATTAAGAAACTATTCCAAACCCCACTAGAAGTGAATAGAGGAGGACGACATTAAGAAACTATTCCAAACCCCACTAGAAGTGAAGAGAGGAGGACGACATTAAGAAACTATTCCAAACCCTACTAGAAGTGAATAGAGGAGGACGACATTAAGAAATTTTTCCAAACCCCACTAGAAGTAATAGAGGAGGACGACATTAAGAAACTATTCCAAACCCCACTAGAAGTGAAGAGAGGAGGACGACATTTAGAAACTATTCCAAACCCTACTAGAAGTCAATAGAGGAGGACGACATTAAGAAATTATTCCAAACCCCACTAGAAGTAATAGAGGAGGACGACATTAAGAAACTATTCCAAACCCTACTAGAAGTGAACAGAGGAGGACGACATTTAAGCAATTTAATGTTGTTTCAAAGCAAATAGTTTTACTAGTATAGCTTTATAAGCATACAATATTAAGTAAAATTGGGAAATGAACACTGTACATTGTACAATTGCTTTTTCTCATGTTTATTGGGCCATTTTAAAATCATAACTTGCGCCATAAAGTCGTCTTCCTAATCTAGAGTTTTCTGGTTCTCACTGTAGTTATTTTACATCTATTTCAATTTTTCAACTAATATTTCAGTTAAAGGAGATTGTTTTTGAGAAATCTCCAAATTATTATATTTATATATATCCCCACATATTGTAGTTATCAAAAAGCATTCCTAAGCAAAAAGATACTATTCTAAACCCTACATGCAGTAAGAACCAGAAAACTGTGGAATTGGAATACGACATTATAGCAATCTTTAAGTGTGAAAAGGAGACTGTTTTTTCTTTCTATTTCCCTTTCTAGCCATTTTAGTTGCGTTATATAAGTTATAGTTCTTATTTAACCTGAGATCACATTCAGGAACAAAATAATCAGTTCAACAAGCAGAACACGATCTTCTACTCTTCTAGGCTGTAGAACACGATCTTCTACTCTTCTAGGCAGTAGAACACGATCTTCTACTCTTCTAGGCTGTAGAACACGATCTTCTACTCTTCTAGGCTGTAGAACACGATCTTCTACTCTTCTAGGCTGTAGAACACGACCTTCTACTCTTCTAGGCTGTACAACACGATCTTCTACTCTTCTAGGCTGTAGAACACGATCTTCTACTCTTCTAGGCTCTACAACACGATCTTCTACTCTTCTATAGGATGTAGAACACGATCTTCTACTCTTCTAGGCTGTAAAACACGATCTTCTACTCTTCTAGGCTGTAGAACACGATCTTCTACTCTTCTAGGCTGTAGAACACGATCTTTTACTCTTCTAGGCTGTAGAACACGATCTTCTACTCTTCTATGCTGTAGAACACGATCTTTTACTCTTCTATAGACTGTAGGACACGATCTTCTACTCTTCTATAGACTGTAGAAAACGATCTTCAACTCTTCTATAGACTGTAGAACACGATCGTCTACTCTTCTATAGGATGTAGAACAAGATCTTCTACTCTTCTATAGACTGTAGAACACGATCTTCTACTCTTCTATAGACTGTAGAACACGATCTTCTACTCTTCTATAGGCTGTAGAACCCTTTATATTGATAATATTCAAACTAACATATTTTGAATTTATTCTCGGAGAGTAAAATCTTAAACAAATATATTTGGAGGAAACTTAATCCGAACTATTTTGTGTCAATTTAGAAGTTTAAAAAGAAAAGAGTTTCAAATTTTAACTATTAAATATTTGTGATGATGATAATAACATATTTATCGTTTGAAGAAGAAAAATTGTATCTAACACTTAAAGAGCGTATTAAGGTGTAACAAAAAATAAAAAGATAAAAAGATAAATAAATGCGTTAGACCCGATATATCTTAATTATTTTTAAAGTTATACAAAAAAAAGTCCATCATTTGCTGTTCTAATACTTTTCAAACTAAAAATAATTAGCAAAATGTTGAAAGATATTTGCGTGTATATACTGTATAGCTTGCACATTTTGGTTCAGAATCATGTATCCTAATGCATTAAAAAAAATCCTCAAAATTACTTTAACAAAAGAATAAAAAAGTTTCAAAAACGTACGTGATGTAGGGAGAAAGAAAGTTGGAAGGGGGTAGCACGCAATAACCCCCCCTTGCACTTTTTAAGGTTTGGTTTATAATTAATTGTAGGAAACTAATTTACATTCCACCTCCATCAAATTTGGGTTACAACCCTTGAAAAAAAAACTTGCACCCCCCCATCTACAACCCCCTTCTGCCCCTATACCTATTGTTGACCTGGCGAATGACTATTGAATACTTTCCTTTCCCCCCCCCCCTCTCCCCCCCCTGTAAGTCTAGGAAGTCAGTTTAAAGCAGTTTTCAGGCATATTAAGTTCTGCTCATCTCTAAAAGTTCATAAAAAAACCTCAGCATTTTTAATCCATTTATATATTTCTTTATTAATCATGCCGCTATCTCAAGAAGTGCAAAACAGGTACAATGGTGGGCGATTATATCAATACAATGAAGACGACTTTTTATTTAAGTTTTGATTGTAAACAAGCTTTTTTAATTACAAGTTTAGAAGTAATCGATGAGAAGCTTTTTCATTGACAGCTTCTCTTAACTTCTATGTTTGTGTGTATCCATGCTGTTTACAGGCTTGATATAAATAAAAATTGAAATCGAAACTCGTCTTCATTGTATTGATATAATCGCTTACTACACTGAAGAATTATCGTTTTTAACAGGTTTTCGGCACCGTTATTCCAGGAGGGGTGGAGTGGGGGCCTGCTCCATATTTTCTAGGGAAGAGAAAGTTCCGCCAATTTTCTTAAAAAAGGGCAATGATAATTTTCATTAATTTGACCCAGGGAGTAAGGAATAGGAGGGAGATACAACTGACGCGGTTCGCCCTACCATATTATACACATGCTTTGCAGACGGTACTTCATTTGAATAAGAAATATTTGTCTGATGTACAATTACCTCGTATAAACAATAACCTATTCTGAATATTTCTTATTCAAATGAAGTACCGTCTGCAAAGCGTGTATAATCATATGGTAGGGCGAACCGCGTCAGTTATATCTCCCTTCTATTCCTTACTCCCTGATTTGACCCAACCTCTGGGAACATCTTTGAATGCCAGGGTAGGATTTAAGATGTACGTATAGTGGTGTTTAAAGAAGGTGAGTATAATCCTTTAATAAAATATTCCAATTGTAGACTAGCAACCCTGGATCATCAGATGAAGAAGAAAGAATTGACACAGAAGGATTTAGAATTTCAGGTATTAAAGGGACTGTAAGCATATTTTCAAATGACACTCCATGCAAAGAAGGCAATGTCCGATTCACAGATGTACCCTTGGAAAATTATTGTGATCAATAAGGTTTAAAATTAGGTCTATAAATTCTTATAATTCCTAATCGTTTTGCTTTAGTATAAATATAGAGAAACCACAATTGAAAAAATCAGTTTTCCAAATTATAAACACTGATATCTAATTCATACTTCAAAGCTTTAAAGGGTACCTTCGTGGATTGGATTACCATCTTTGCATGGAGGTCACTAATAGTTTCGCTTACGGTCCCTTTAACATAAAAAAATGTTACTTCTTAACATTAACCCGTGCAGTAACTAAGTCTTTGCACCGAACTCTGATTTTCTAATCCCTATATCTTTGCAACCAGTACAATCAGTGTTTGCGAAGATATAGGGATTACAAATTTGAGTTCAGGGCAAATTCCTTTATGGGATTTTCTAACCAAGTTATTTTGACCTATTCAATTAACATATCCCCTATCCTATCCTATCCTATCCTATCCTATCCTATCCTATCCTATCCTATCCTATCCTAACCTATCCTAACCTATCCTAACCTATCCTAGCCTATCCTATCCTATCCTATTCTATCGTCTTTTAGTTAAATTTTAACTTCATTTCAAAATGAGTAAAATTTTAAGGTTAATAATGTTATTATTTAAGTTAATAATGTTATTGACCGACAAAGGGTCAAACGACCCAGGGTCAAACGACACAGGGTCAAACGACAAAGGGTCAAACGACAAAGGGTCAAACGACAAAGGGTCAAAAGTACGACAAAGGGTCAAACGACAAAAGGTCAAAATGATAAAAATATTTTTTGATTTGAATCATAGGAAACTCGCAATTTTAATCNTAGACAAGTAGACAGAGAGACAAGTAGACAGATAGACAAGTAGACAGATAGACAAGTAGACAGATAGACAAGTAGACAGGTAGACAAGAAGACAGATAGACAAGTAGATAGATAGACAAGTAGACAGATAGACAAGTAGACAGATAGACATATTGACAAAATTAGACGGATAGACGAGTAGACAGATAGACAAGTAGACGGATAGACAAGTAGACAGATAGACAAGAAGACAAACAGGGGCGGATACAGGGGGGGGGCGGCGGGACCTTTGCCACCCCCTGACAGATTCAGGGAGGGGCGTAGCCCCCCCTGAATTTGGAATTTTTTGTTCCTATTTTCAGAATAGCTTCTCAATAGCATGCTTATGGGAAAGAAACCCTAGTGCAAAACAGGAAAAATATCTGTCTTAATAAACTATAATGTGTGAAAAGTTAAAAATCTAATTTTTAAGTCTTTAGTCATTAATTTTGAATCTTTTAAGCCAAAACATTTTTCGCCTGCGGCGCGAATTTTTGTTCCTAATTATGAATTTTTTTGTTCCTAAAAATCTTGCACCCTCACTTAAATCCTGTATACGCCCCTGAAGAAAAATAGACAAGTAGACAAATAAACAGTTAGACAAGTAGACAGATATACAAGTAGACAAAAAAATACTCACGAATATATAATAGCGGTAAAATACAAATAAATTCTAAAATCAGAAACATTTAAAAAAAATTAAATTAGAGTTTAATTAAAGAACAGTAAACACCCCTGTAAAACTTTTAAAAGTATATAAATAGAAAGCATGAAAGCTCAAGATGCAGTAAAAACTTGTTTAAGAATGCTAGCCTTGGGATGCGTAATAGCAAGAATATTTGCGTAAAAAGCGTACATGAATCTTGTGATTTTAGGGTCGCAGCCTTGAAGTCTAAAGGAATGCAGCGTTCCGTTTTCGTTATTTGAACGTTATCGAACTGCATGTTTTTCGAATTTAATGGAGGATTTCTTTAACGAACAATAAAATCTGTTAATTTTGAAATCGTTTACGAACGGAAATAAGCGTTCATGAAACAGGAACGAACGAATGTGCTTTAAAAAACGTTGACTTTCGTTAATTTTCTGCTTTGAATTGTATTAAACTTACTGAGAATAAAAACATTTTTTCATATTTTGATGTTTTTTGAATATTCTTTTCAAATTTTTCTTGCTTTATTTTATGTAAAAAAATAGTAAACGTTAAATTTAAAAAGGACAAAAAATACCGTATATTCGGAACGAAACATTCCTAGCTCAGAACATAAGGATATCCAAATAGACTATCAAGTACAATAGGTGGCAAAAGAGAAATGAACCAATTATACATGACGTCACAAGTGTCAAATATAAGAAAGAAAACAAAATTTTCTCACATTAATTGACATGTTTTCCAAGACTAAATAAAAAGTGTAAAAACAGAAAATAAAGAACATATGAAATTACATTTATGTTATTGTAAGATAAGATTATTAATAATTTTGTCCGACACAAAAACTAAGTTGACACTTGTGACGTAAGAATACAGCTGTACTGAGAGTGTACAATTTCTACGTTGCCATCTATTGTAGAATCTATTTGAAGGATATCTAAAAAGTTGGTATATTTTGAACGGTTATAGCTAGCCATTAATGAATAATCACTGGTTGGAAAAAAATCTTAACATGCCACCGTCCCCCCGGTCCTACTCCAAACATGATTATTTGAGAAATTAGTACAAAATTTCATACTTCTGGGGTCCAAGGGGATTGCACTATTTTTATCGATACAGAGAAAGAGGGGGTTTCCATGCATAATTCTTTGCAGGCAATATTGACAATCTAATTAATATTCCAATTCAGGGGCAGCTTCACCGAGGTTATAGCGTATAAAGCGAGGGAGGGAACATCCTGACGCTATGAGCCTCCACCTTGCAGACACAAGCCTCCCAGATTTGCTAGGCAGACTAAGCATCTGCCATGCAGTAAGAGCCTCTACAATGCTGTAAAAGAGTCTTCCTTAAAATTCTTGATTTTTACTGATTTTTTTCATTTTTTTCAAAATAGTGGCACAAGAAATGTAGTTTATTGATTAGTTTATTTTGTGTTAATCTTTGATTCAAGCAATACCTTTTTTGGGAACTTTTTTTTAGGCACAGATTATTTGTCAAGTCAAATTTTTTATTATCTTAATCTAATAAAATTTCAAAAAAAGTTATCGCTTAAATTAAAGATTATAAAATATCATCTAAAATTACATTCAGAATTTTTCTTTAAATGTTTTTCTTTTTGCGTAAAAAATGTTTTTAGTTTCAGAAACAAAACCACTTTACTGTAGTCATAATTTGTCACTATTTATAATAATTGATTAATACTACTGATTTTTGATAAACTTTTAATGTCACTATTTTAAAAAAGTACATAAATTCTTTACTACATTTGAAAACCAAGGAAACTGTATTCTGTGTAGCGGAGGCTCGTTTACTATGTAACGGAGGCTTGCTAACTGCATAGAAAGGCTCTTACTGCATGGCGGCAGCTTGGTCTGCCTAACAAATCTTGAAGGCTTGTTTCTGCATAGCAGAGGCTCATGTCGTCTGGGGGTTCTCTCCCTCTTTAAAGCAAACAATATTACACTCAACAAGGTATTCTAATTCTAATCCTTTACTTTAACATATGTATAGACCAGGAATTCTATATTGAGCAGAAATAAGAGAGTTACAGAGATCAATTGACAGCTAGAATATGCGATATTTTCCACAGCAATCTTAATGCCAGTAATTTTCTTAAACTTGTATTGTGACAGTAAATATCCTGGAAATTGCTCTGAACTTTGTCTTTGTTTGTTATTATTTCCCTCCCCCATCCTATAAAGTGTATGTTTTTACTATTTCCATACACCCTGCTTCCCCCCACAAAAACACATGTATTATGTTTTACCCCCTGATTGTTTGTTTTGATCTCTTCCCCCTGTGTGGCGGTCTGCAGTACACCCATTTGTCGCATCAGATATAGCGGTCATTATATGTATATTTTTTCATACTAACTTTGTTCAATATTTAGAAGGGATGATATATTGATATATGATATATTGATATATGATATATTGATATATGATATATTGATATGATATATTGAATTGCTCCGTGGTTCAATCTGTGAATCTGCTATATTTTTTGACAGCAACATGGATAAAGACATTCATTTATAGTGATGTAAAGTTTTAAAACTTAAACTAAAACTGAACTAGAAAATTGGAACTGTAATATTTGTTCATAGATTTCCAATATTTTTCCATTAACTTGATAAAAAATAGTCCATCATCAGTTATTTTGAAGAATAGTTTTAGGTATTAAAATAGGGTAAAGTAATCATAAAATTTAAGCTGTCATCCATTTCCTCTGTCACAGCTGAGAAGGTCTGCTTTAAGGCAGGTATACCCAGCATTGTTAATAGCCTGTCACTGGTGATTAAATTTTTAATTCAGAAACATAGAGATCATTTTTATATCATATTGGTCCTTTATGTGATCATGCCTTGCATGGATTCGCAGGAACATCTGCCATGTTGAATTGGATGAGTACAATAAGGTATCCAAGCATAGTACTAAAGGCAGAAATCATGCTTGACTTGCTGATAGTAAAGAATCCCATAGCTGTTGGTTCTGATTCTTTTCCACCCTCAAGCCATCTCCATTTGAGTTCAGCTTTCATGACAGGATCCAAGCATTTATCCATTGCAATCCTATTAATGCATATGTGTGAGGCAAAAATATGCCGAAGGAGAAATATTTTCTTTTAAAGTCATTACCCCTACGCAAATCTAGGTTAAGAGGGGAAGGGGGCAGTAAAATGTCCAATTTCTCTTTGTTTTACCCCAAATCTTTCAAGATAAATATTCCACAAAATCTTTAAAAATCATTCCACCATTTTTTAAATTAGTTTCCCCAGATCCTAAGAATTGGAGAAATGTTATACCTCAACACATTGTTGGCATTTTGAAGCTCTTCAAAGCATTCTTGGCTTATTGTTGTAATATTCCAAATAATAAATACACCTCTTATGATATCCGCTATTATCAATAACTTGAACTTAATTACAAAAGCATAGCTTCGGTACATGATCAGAAGCAAAGATGTTGAGTAGTGAAATAGCAAGATTGGTCCCAATCCTTTCTTTAGATTCATATAAGCATTGAAAAAGGCTGGATATAAATTCTAACGAGACAAAAAAGTAGTTAACAGGAATCAGGAATTAATTCAGGCCTGTAAAATGCAGTGTACAATACAATATTACTGCAAAACTGTAAACAACGAACATAATTAGCTGAATTTTCCTTGATGGGAGCAACAACAAAGGGATTGATCCACATTGTTCAACTAAATATGCTTCGCATACTTTAAGAACCCAGTTATTAAGCAATGCTGTTATGGATCCTAATTGCACAAACACAAGGTCTGAAATGTCTGTGAAACCAGCTCCTCTTGGGATTCCATGTTTAAAATCTTGATAGACCATATACGCCTCATTTATGGATGGCAGAAGACACCACAAGAGGCAGCAGAAGAAATATCTCCAGGATTTGACAGTCAGCTCATATTTCCCAATTTGTTTAGGGCTAACTGGAATAAAGAGAATGTCATTAATCTGACAATTTTTCCAGCAGCTGTATTTTTTACTGAAGATTCTGTTGCGAAAGTGTAATTTTCATGAGATATTTTCATTTTGACTTTTTTATATGTTTCTTTGTTACCTTACAGTTTTAAACTGAAACAGCTTTCCTTCATGAACTAAGCACACTATTGCTCAAGGCTAAATACACAAAAAAGGTGTTCGGAATTTTTTTTTAACAGTTTTTAAGATTAAAAATGTGCTGACTAAAGCATGCATTTTAATAAGAAAAAGAAAATTTTATTTACTTTTTTATGTATCAAATTTTGTATTTTGTATTATATTGATTTTTATAATTGTTTATACAAATAAAACTCCTTTTGTAAACAAAGAAAGTTTAAGTAAATAACTTTGGGACCAGCAAAGTGTGACATGAATAAAATACATATATCAATAATTAACAAAATCACCTGATGTGCTTACATGTCTCCTAATACCCCGACAATTGAGGGGGTGAGGGACAGTTTTGTTCTCTTCAGATCCTTCTGGACCCAAGACCATGCAAAAAATAGCCCAGAGGATTTAGTTCAGTGTAGTCAGGGTACCTGAATCGCTGTCTTGGGATCTGAATTTACTGGACTATTTCCAGACCAAGAGGGATGTGAATAAAAGGCCTTACATAACCTCCATTTCCAGTGTGTATTTGGACACTACCAGTCACATCTTAAACGCTTACGCCAACTTCAAGGCTAAAAAGGTTGCTGCTACAAGAGGCCATTTTCTAGACAACTATTAAGTTTGTAAGAGATGGCACACTGCAAAAAGAGATTAGTTGGGGTTCTTACTGCCACCCAATAGGACAGATAAGGAATTATTGAACTGCACATAATTGTTGGGTCCAAATATCAGGTGTAAGAGTATTATCTCTGATTACCCTATCAGGAACAAGTATATGATTGAATTTATTCATATCAATAGTTTGGATCTGGACAGATTGGACATTTATGAAATAGATCAGTTTATACCCTTCATGCAACAATTGGATTGGTGGACAATTAGTAGCAGTGTTTGCAAGATCTAACTGTATTCGGTAGATTAGATATGTTGATCATAGGGATAGAATTTCTTCTGACATACAAAGATCTGAACAGTAATCCTGAATTTTTAGGAAATGATGAAGGCACTGGAGATGGAGAGTGCAGCCCGAGTACACAGTGTTCGGGTAGGTAGCCATTTTACCAAACAAAAACATGTGTGTACAAATGTGAAAAAATATCTGCCCAAATACATTTAAACTGGCTACAGTTCCGATGGCGAAGATGATGGGTAAATAATTCTGGACTTTTGACTTTCGACATCAGCATGTCGGAGACTAAATGTTTCCAGGAAAACTTTGAAATAAGACAACTTTAAATGTTTTTATAAGGAAATTTGTTACCAGTAGCTTGGAAAGTGAAATGGTTCTGTGCATACTGCAAAATTGCTGTGTTTGATATTCATTGCAGACTATTTCAAATCACAACTTGAGTAAAACAGTTGCCTACTTAAACTAATTTTTTTTTGTGTTCCTCTATGGACCTTGTTACCCTTCTATAATATTAAAAAGTTACATTGACCTATTAAATGGATCCAGATCCAGGTCATGAACATTTCTTAAAGATTACTGATTTTTTTAAGAAAAGAAGAATTATCAAATTCTTTTTTTACACAATTATTTTGTATTTTGAGAACAAAACGTATTTTTTCAGTTCTAGGTTGAAATTTTGCCCCTTGGATCCAGATCCAAGGAGCCATAAAATATTTTTGCTGATTCGGATCCAGGAAGCAAAAATGTTGCAGATACCATGGCGCACTGGCAAAAAGTAAAAGTCTGTCCATCCCCCCTAAAATCAAAAACATAAATTCCAATTTTTGAAGTAATTTAATTTTTTTTTCAAGAGTAAAAAGAAAGAACTGAGAGTATTTCAGAGACAAACCAATAAAAAAGTTGAAAAGATGAAGCAGGTAGATGTTAAACTTGTTATACAGGGTGTAACTTTAAAGAATAAGACCTAAAAGGACCTAGTTTATTCAAGTGACCATATATTTAAAGAAGGGAATGTGCCAGATTCACAACGGTACCCTAAAGCATTTATCTAACCAATAATGTGGAAGCTACGTCGTTTTTAAAAAGTTTTCAATTCCTATATTTATCTTCATAAAAATTTGTATTACTTATTAATTAGGACTCCGTACAGTTCATATTTTTTAGGTACTAGCTGAAGGGCCCAGGATTGCACGTAAAAAAAATGGAAAAAATATTTTGAAAAAAAAAATTTTGAATTATTTTTAGCCTATGACACCCCCCGGCCACCCATGAGTGTCCACAAAAAATTTCCGCCGTTTGGCCGCCTATACGCAACATATATAAATATCCGATTTCTTGTTTTATTATATAGATTTGGAGAAACTTCCATAGCTAGATTCTGTAAAGTGATGTTATTTAAACTGATGTTCATTGTTCATAAGATTTTTAAGAATCATACTTGTAAAATTAGATTGACGACATGAATACCGCTAAAAATTTCAAATATTAAAGACGACCTTTAAGTTTTATTGGAACTCCATATTATAGTTAAGTTTTTAGAAAGCCTAATTTAATTTATTTTTGTCTTGTTTAGGAGAGAAAAGCTGAATACTGTACAAGCAATGCAACTAGGTCAATTTTTAAAAATTATCTAAATAAAAAATATTTGAAGAACTAATCATTACTGAACGTATTTATATTGCTTTAAAGGGAATGACCGGCTATGTAACTTGTTTGAGCTGAAAGTGGAGTATTTTAGAAAAAGCTATAATATTCATTTGATACCAATGAGACATTTTTACGCTGTACAATTTTTAAATAAGAGTGAAAAGTCGTTTGTAATATTTCACCTGTTGTTTCAGTCAGCAGAGGAAACGTTTTTTTACAATTATTTTGCTGTGCAGGAACCTATTTCTTAAAAGAAATTATCGATAAAAACCAAATTAGACCCGTAGAATCGAGAATTTCATTATCACTATTACCTTTGCTGTTTCTGTAATTTTTTTCACAGATTTCTTAAAAATATCCATTTCACAATTAAATTAAAGAAAACCTCCAACAAGCGACCCTAGCTGAAAGAATTTGCGATATTTTCAATGATAGAAGTTCAACATTTTTCTCACCCTGTTTGTATACATTCAACTAGTTTGTATAATAGTATTTGTTACATGTTTCTCAGGGGCGGATACAGAATTTAAGTGAGGGGGGGGCAAGATTTTTTAGGAACAAAAAAATTTATAATTAGGAACAAAAAATCGCGCCGCATGCGAAATTTTTTTTTTGACTTAAAAGACTCAAAAAGAGTCAAAATTAATGACTAAAGACTAAAAAACTAGATTTTTAACTTTTCACACATTATAGTTAATTAAGACAGATATTTTTCCTGTTTTGCACTTGTTTTGCTTTCCCTTAAGCATATGCTATTGAGAAGCTATTCTGAAAATAGGAACAAAAGATTCCAAATTCGGGGGGGGGGGCTACGCCCCTACCTGAATCTGTCAGGGAGGGCGAATGTCCCCCTGCCCCCCCTGTATCCGCCCCTGTGTTTTTTTCGGTTATTTAAGAATTAAAAAAAAACGTTTCTTCTGCTGGCTTTACCTAAATTAAAGTTACCCTCCAAACAAAAATGGTAATGCTCGATTTACAACAGTACCCTTGAAACCATAATCTGATAAAAATTTGGAAGATACCGTCGTTTTTCTGACTCAGAAAAAGTGTTCTTTTCTGCAATTTTCTCCTTTGCTTTTTATAAACAAGAAATGCGCAAGTCATTTTCGCAAAAGAAACCGCAAATGAAATAAACAGTTTAAAGAGACAAAATACCTTGATATCTAAATCATACTTGAGACAAAGTTTTCAAGGGTACCGTTGTCAATCGAGCAATGCCATCTTTGTACGAAGGGTTATCTTTCCACTAACAGTCCTTTTAAATGTGTAAAACAAATTTCTAGAGAGAAGATAGCGGAAACTTACAGAAATATGGAACTTAGCTCTAAAGCTCAAAATTTCGAAGGTAATTTTAAGTAACCCAGGGTTTTAGAGAGGGTCAGGTCCAGGGGCGTATTCAGGAATTTTGTCCAGTGGTGGCTTAAATTTTTTTATCTTTCCAGGGGGGGCTGAAAACCCCCTGAAATCAATAGATTTCAATGGTCCCAGGGGGGGGCTTAGCCCCCCCCCTGAATACGCCTCTGGGCATGTCTGATTCTCAACACTTTGCCTTATCATTGCCATTTTCAAAATTTGGTCTGCATTTTTTGTGCTTTTAATATTGCCCAAGATATGAACAATTAAGTTCAGATTTTGACAATTTTGCTTTTATTTAACAAAATTGAAATCTGAACCAAACTCTTTATATCTCCGGTAATATTGAAAGCACGAAAAACGCAGACCACGTTTTGGAAATGTCAGGGCTAGGAGAATTATGTAATAATTGTTTCAAGAATCATACATGTTAAAGTAGATAGAAGACTAAAATGTCACAAATAAATTCAAATATCAAAGACGACTGTCAAGTCGTCTTGCTATTGTCATGTTTCGTGGGACACCCTGTACTATACAGATTGTATTCAAAGTTTCAACATTGACAAGCTTTTATGCGAATAAAATAAGGTTACCATTCTTCCATGATAAGTCAAACATTTAAAGGGTACCATTGTGAATCGGACATGCCGTTCTATTTATGGAAATTTCATCTACAACCAAAGATGTGTTTTCTCGAAAAATAATTGTTCTTCCCCTTTAAAAACCGAAATGACAATTAGAAAAACAAAATGGCGACTAGAAAACAAAATGGCGACTAGGAAGCGGACATTTTTTTCAGGGGTTTATTTACTCAATTTGGGAAAATGAATGATTCATAGGTAGGGTAAAAAGTATCAAAATGAATGAGGAAATTATGCTATTTTATGTCCAATTTTAACCCCTCCCCCCCTCCTTATCAAACTCATTTGCAGCCCTGTCTACCAACCTTTAAACGGAGAGAACTCTAAATATATATCAATCAATCGATTAATAAATCAAGTATTCAATCAATGAATCTATAGATTGGTGTACGGAGTGTGAATGTTTCCATCTGGAAAAGCTGGATGATCCTACGCCAGAAACTCAACCTAAATCTACAAACTAGAACCAGTTTTGACTCCATATCTTGCAACAGAAACTTAACCTAAATCTAAAAAAATTAAAACCAGTTTCATACTCCATATCTTACAGCAGAACCTTGACCTAAATCTTCAAATTAAAACTAGTTTTAATTCCAGATCCTACAACCTGAATCATCAAATCAAAACAAGTTTTACCTCCAGATCCTACACAAGAAACTCAAGCTTAATCTTAAATTAAAACTAACCCCTCATTCTATGTCAGAAAATCAAACATGATCTATAAACTAAAATTAGTTTTAACGCCAGAAACTCAAACTTAATTTCAAATTAAAACCAGTTATAAACTCGGATTTAAAATCTACTTAACCCACATTATTCAACTAATGCCTATAGATTACATTTTAAAACTCGGATTTCAACTCTACTTAATCTGCATTCCTTATCTAATTACAGCCACTACAGCGACCAACTTTTTAAAATAACTGCTTTCACACTCATTCCATTCGTTTATTATGAACAATTTGTTCCTATAATGAAGAAATTGTAACCTAATATTTATGTTGTTACAAAACATTGTGTCCTTACCTAAATGTTGTTACCTAAAATTTGTTTCGTTGCCTAAATTTTTTGTTGTTTCCGAATGTGATAAAATCAAAAGTATATTTTCCCTTTGGTCTCACTTTCTTAGAGGGGTGTCGGGAAAACTTAAATTTAAAACCGAAATTTAATCTAAAATTAATTATCAGTGTTTTCCCTACACCCCCACCTGCTTCCCAAATTGCTTTTACAGAAATAAGCCATAAAATAAAATTGTATGATAATATCTTTTCTTGCAATGTTAATTCAAGAAATCTTAAATTCAGTAACAATCTTAGAACTTGTATGATAGTTTTTTTTACAAAAGTATGTTTATTATCAGATAAAGATAAAGTTTCATCTTTAAAATTTTATCATCTAAAACTGACTCTAGAAAAAATGTTTGCTTATCACCAAAACAGAATATTCTTAACAATTTTCCTGACATATCTAATTATCAAATTCAGAAACACAAATAATAAAAATCGGCCAAGAACTATATAATCGGTCAAGAACTATATAATCGGAAAAAGTTTAAATTTTAGGACGAGCTTCAAATCAAATCAGATTTCATGGATAATTAAAAAAAATGCTATACTTCAAATTTGGCTTTAATATTGAAAAGTATGTTTTGATTACGAACATAGATTAATAACAATACAGATAGAACACTAGATGTCGTCTTTTCAAGATTTAGGGGTTTTTCTTTCACAATAACTCTGAGGCAGAACCCCGAAGGATGTTCTCTCTGTGTGGCATGCCTCTGGATTATTGTGAACGAAAAACCCCTAAATTTTGAAAGACGACATCTAGTTACCTGTCTGTATTGTTAGTAATCTTTAAGTACGATGATATTTATATTCAAGTTTTGATATACAAGTTTAAGATTTAATTTCCAGCAGAGAAACATTTATCAAGTCTAAATTTTACCGTTTTCAAATTGAAACATTCTGACAACGTAGGTGAAATTAATTGAGTTAGAAAAGTGCCTGGCGTTGTCCGGTGTAAACAAAGAGAATAGAATATATATTAGAGTGGAATTTACTGGAAAAAAATGTAAAACGGCCATTTTGTTGTACTGTTTCCATACTGCAGGTGTACTTCACAAATTTGTGCTATATAAATTTTTGGGCCCTGGAACATCATTTTATAGAAAATCTAAAATTAATATTAAAGGAAAACCAAATTATGAAATAGGTTGGTTTCATAATTGACCAATGATCATTTCACATAGACTCTATTCCTTTAACTTTACAAACGATGATTTTCCGTTATAAATATAAATCAAATGATGTTTTTATTCACCTAATTCATTTTATAAAGTTTATTTAACAGCTTTAAAAAATTCGAAATCGAAATGGATAGTCCAGGGAACATACTGTATTAGTGTACCAGAGGCGCAACTAGGGGGGGCGGCCGGGCGCGCGCCCTCCCCTAGCACCTGAGATGGGGGGGCGCGCCCCCCCCCCTGCAGAATGAAAAGAAAGAAAGAATGGCGAAAATCAGTATCACAGGAATAAGAAAACCAATAGAGTTATTGTAGAAATTTTATTATACTATGGTTAGTTTTAAAAAAATATTTTTATCTTTCTCAATTCTCAAAGCTAAAGGCTATTGTAAACATTTAATGTAAAAAAAGTTATGAACTGTATTTTATTTGTGTTGAGTTTATAGTACTCGTAGATATCAAACTTTTAATTCTTTTGGTAAAATATTCCAAGGTTGAAATATCAAATGTTTACACCACTCTGTGCAAAGATTTAGGGATTAGAATATTTGAGTTTGTGGCAAAAACTCAGTTCCAAATCTAGAGAAAATTCTGAACCTGACAAATTTCTAATTAATTATCATTTTTGATAACTAACAAGATCTATCTTCTTTGACAGAAGTTCTAAAAATCGAAAATGAATTTAGATTATGAATGTTGGTTAGATCAATAATTAATTCAATAACTTCAAAAGAAAAGGTAACATTATCTGTCCTTTTTCAATGTGGAAGATTGAATTTATTATTTACCTATATGTATTTTTATATACATAATTACATAATAATATATTGCCCCCCCCCCTAGGAAAAGTCCTAGTTGCGCCTCTGTAATGTACTCTACTGCATATAATTTGTGAACATTTACATGATTTGTACACTTTGAACTCCCTTTCAGGCTGAAAGGGACTGACAAAATTCATACCGAGGGATTGTCTAAATTCCACTCTAATATATATTTTATTCTCTTTGGGTATAAAACAAATCGTACAATACTCGACAATAAACGAAGCTTTCTCTAATCCTATGTTACCCAGCCCTAGGGGGGCAAATGCAACATTTTAAAATCTTGCTATATCTGTCTAAGTGTTTCTGTTTGGTCATGGTAATGGTAAAAATCATTATTAACGATCAACCCACAGACAAAGTACAACGACCTATAGGTTGAAATACAATGAAAACAGGGCTGAGCTCCACCACTTGCCCTGGTCTACATGACATGAGATTTGATCTGGCCTAAATTTTTAAAAGATTCAGTGTGTATGCCACTATGCCAGAAAAGCATGGATACTACGGTACACACTTCCGCAGAGTTTGTTAATTGGTTAAATGAGTATCATAGAGTCGTGACCAGGGGAAGTTGACCCAATTTCGGTAAAAATTCATTATATTATTTTACCTGAAGCCGTTCCTTCCATAAACTACATCGGTCGACAACTTGACGTCTCCTATATTGGTCGTCAAGTGTACGGAGAAATTATCCATCTATCAGATAAGAATTTAGCATGAGACATCTAGCGGCCAACATATGTCCCTAAACTACGTGAATTACACGACCACTATCTATAGAGAGAACGGGCTCTGTAGATTCCTTTAATTTTAATGGGAGAACTATGGTGTCGTCTTTGTGTCCAGTTTACATGAGTTCTCTTTCCATTTCACCAAATTATTAGTTAAATAAAGTCAGGTATGCTGGAAGGGGTTTGAACCATATAACACTGTTATTTTTATAATAATGATAATTGTTATAGTTAAAAAGGCTTGGAATGCATGTTACTAATGAGGTTCATGGACAGCTGTAAACCATGTTTCAATCATTTTACCCAGCTTTCTACCCCTAACCATTAGGGTTTGTCCTGTGGAACCGTTCCCGCCAAGATAAGTTTGTAAAACCCGGACATTATCTATTGAGCCTTTTGCTTTGAACTCAGACATAAAATTGGAAATATTTAAATATCTTCTGAGATTGGCAACTATAGAGCACTCAAATATAGTATATGGCTCTGACAACTTAAAATGAGGGCCCAATAATTCGCAGAGTGGGCGAACATAATATTTAAATCCAAAGCGGTTTTTGTACCTGTTACCCAGTTGAGCATTTCCGCCCCTGACTTGACATAAAATTTTACTTGATTTGGAGTCATTAATATGGTTTTGAATTTTAACCCAATTCCAAAGTTCAAAGTGGAATGTTGCCTTTCTACACTAATTACATATGCTTCTGCTTTTTGTGTAACTGCATATTGTAAGAGATGTTTTTTTTCTTAAATCTAAAAATATTACCCAACAGAGCTTCAATTTTCCTCCATGATTTGGTCCATGGGTTTGATGGTTTATCTAGTTGCTCTCTTAATATTTTTAACAGTGTGTGATTTTTTTTTGGTTTTAATAATATCATAAATATACCCGGCCTGTCTCGAATATATTCTATACTGCATTGGCATTAATCCTGCATCTATTCAGACTAGTGCTCTTGAAGTTGAAGCTGGTAGCCTGGTAATTGTAAAATAAATCTTCCTACAATATTTTGAATTCTATCCAGGCTAGTGCTCTTGAAGTTGAAGCTTGTAGCCTGGTAATTGTAAAATAAATCTTCCTACAATATTTTGAATTCTATCCAGGCTAGTTCTCTTGAAGTTGAAGCTGGTAGCCTGGTAATTGTACAATAAATCATCCTACAATATTTTGAATTCTATCCAGGCTAGTGCTCTTGAAGTTGAAGCTGGTAGCCTGGTAATTGTAAAATAAATCATCCTACAATATTTTGTATTCTATCCAGGCTAGTGCTCTTGAAGTTAAGCTGGTAGCCTGGTAATTGTAAAATAAATCTTCCTACAATATTTATTTTGTATTCTTTCAAGTTACATGATTCTACTCTTCTATTTTGATGCTCTGCGTTATATAAGATAACCTGTATTTTTTTTTTATTGAACTAAATGAAGAGTTTTAAAAATTATACTAAATAACTTACAAACTTCTTAACAACGATTTGTTAAACTTTCCACCTAAATTTTTAACAACTCCGTCGGAATTCATAAATTTTTAATTAAAAAATGAAAAAAATGAAGTAATTTACTTTGAAAAATTTAAAAACTGAATAAAATTGCAAAATTTTAGAAAAACTCAAATGTTTTAAGTTGTCCGTAACCACCATATTTGGATAACTATCAACTATTTTGATAATCTTTTCTTAAAAGAATGTTTACGTAATTTCCTACGATATAGATAATTGAGGAAATGAAAGCAAAATATCAAGTGAACCTCCATGCCAAGATGAAAATGTCCGATTCACAACAGTACACTTTAAAGTTTTGTCTGATTATTTTCAAATTGTAGTTTCTATACAAACTAGGCTGTTAGGGCGCTTCGCGCCCATCTTATGTTTAAATTGTGAACATGTTATTTTTGTTTACATTTTAAAACAAGGAAGAAAAAAGTTTTGCGGATTTTTAAATAAAAATTCGCGGATTATCAAGAATTTAATTTTTTTTTTACAAAATTAAAAACCTTTAAAACACATTTTTTAAAAATTTTTATCATTCATAAACCTTCCCTGGGGTCACGTGAGGTCCCACACAAAATTTGAGCCCGATCGGTTCAGCCGTTTTGACGTTTAATGGATACAAACAAACAAACAAACAAACAGACACACAAGCTAAATTTATAGATAGAAGTGACTTGCCCATTTCTACTTCAGGAAAATATATAGGAATTATCAGTATTGAACACTTGTAAACCTAAAGAAATGACAATATCTTCTCCATTATTGATCAGATAAACAGGACTTGCTAATTTATGCAGCTGATAGAAGGAAGGAAATTGACAAGATAAACCTCACATAAAGGTTTAAAACCGCTCCTCAATCTTAGCAATCTTTTATTTTCTATCTTTAAACATTTTACTTCCTTGTCTCAATAGCATAAACCCGAATGTCATTTTTACAAAGAAACCATGATTAAATTAAACAAATTTTCCGAAAGAAATGTAAGGATAGCATTCAATATTAATTCCTGATCAAAGGGTTTAGAGCACCACTGTGAATCAACTATATTATTATTAAAAAAGAAGGTCTCTTGAAATTGAACAGTCCCTTTCAGTTGAACAAAAATCACTTTATTGATCAGTATCCCTGAAGAGGATCAATTTCATCATCTCCACTTTCAGGTTCATTTTTTACAAGATCATGTTCAGGTTCTTGTTTTACAAGATCAGGTTCAGGTTCTTGTTTTACAATATCAAGTTCAGGGTCTTGTTTCACAAGATCAAGTTCAGGTTCTTGTTTCACAAGATCAGCTTCAGGTTCTTGTTTCACAAGATAAGTATCAGGTTCACATTTCACAAAATCAGGTTCAGGTTCATATTTCACAAGATCAGGTGTATATTCTACAAGATCAGGTTCGCATTGCATTAGCTCAGGTTCAGATTCATATTTAATTGGATCTGCCAAGTTATGAGATATAGTACCATCAACCTGAAAGAATAGATCACTTATTTATTCTTTGAAGTAATAGTGAAGGAAGTCCCAAAAATCATGTAATATTCCCCTAAAATTCAAAGTTTTTTTTCTTGCAAATACAGGGTGTCCCAATAAACATGGGAATTAAATGACGACTTCTATACCGTCTTTGTTTCATCCAGGATTATTTAGTAAATATAATTTTGTAGTTTCAAAGTTAAGGCGCGTACGCAGGGGGGACAGTAGTCCTCTTGCCTCCCCTCCTGGGGGAGTAAGTATGATTTATGACTTTTAAAACATTTAACACCGAAATCTACTAGTCTCGGGATTTCCAAAATGTGGTCTATGCACTTTATGTCATTTATCCATTTTCGGAAAACAAAGACGATATTCAAGTTAATTCCCATGTTTATTGGGACTCCCTGTAGTTAAAAATTTAGCTAGTCAATTGAAAAGATTGAAATGGAAAACAAATTACAGGTTAAAAACAAAATTCATAATCTTAAAGGGACTTTAAAGGAAAAACGAATGGGGGTATAGGCGGAAACCTAAGTTACTTAGGAGTTGATCCAAACCCTTGCGAGTTCTATATGATGTTCCTGTCTCGAGAAATTGAAAAAAAACTGTGTCAAATTTTTACAAGAATCGGCATAAATCAAATTGTGTATAAAATTCTTAGGTTTAAACAGATCATATTCAGCAACCAATCTAAAAAATAACGATATCCCAGAGGAGTCTAAGTAACTTAGGTTTGCTCCTATTATTATTTGAATTTCATAATTTTTCATTTTTAATAGATATAATTGATAATATAATTATTACGTCCGGATCACGTGACCATAGTTCGGGTCACGTGATACAGACGTATTTATTAATTTGTAAAAGCAATAATTTGAGTCTCGAGAATTATGAGGAAAATCCTGGAACAGGAAACCCTGAATCCATATCAATTATATCTATTAAAAATCAAAAATCAAAATTATAATAGGAGCAAACCTAAGTTACTTAGGCTCCTCTGGGATATAATTGTTTTCAGATTGGTTGTGTATTTGCTGAATATGATCTGTTAAACCTACTATTTTTATACAACATTTGGTATTTCTCAATTTATCGAGAACATCAGATAAAACTTGCAAAGGCTTCGATTAACTCCTAAATAACTTAGGTTTCAGCCCCCTTTCATTTTTCCTTTACAGTCCCTTTAATTAATATAATTATCTACTATCCAGCAAAATCTAAGCAAAAGTTCCATCTGTTCACCTTTCTGATTTTTGATGAAACCGAAAAACAATCCGATTCTTTTAAATAAATTACTTCACGAGGAGCCAATTCTTTATCAGGAAGAGAAGGAAGAGAAGCTTCCGTAATACGTCGCTTTCTCGTATGAAGATCACTAAAAAAATCTACAATCAAATAAAATTGATAATTTTGGACAGAATAAATAAGTTAACGTGTCTATCTGTAAAATCTTCATTGTCTATGATATGTTCTGCCTTTGTAATGCCCTAGCTGTCTATTAAATGTTCTGTCTATATGATGCCCTGTCTATTAAGTGTCCTGTCTATGAAATGTCCTGTCTATGAAATGCCCTGTCTATTAAATGTCCTGTCTATGAAATTTCCTGTCTATTTAACGTATGTCCTGTCTATGAAACTTCCTGTCTATGTAACGTATGTCCTGTCTATGAAATTTCCTGTCTATGTAACGTATGTCCTGTCTATGTAATGTATGTCCTGTCTATGAAATTTCCTGTCTATGTAACGTATGTCCTGTCTATGTAACGTATGTCCTGTCTATTTAACGTATGTCCTGTCTATGAAATTTCCTGTCTATCTAACGTATGAATGTCTGTGAAATGTCCTGTCTATGTAACATATGTCCTGTCTATCATGAATTGGCTTGCCATGAAATGTCCCAACAGCCAAAAAAGAGTGCAAGTTTGTGTTTGTGCCTTCAATGTTAAGAAATAAGTAACTAACTTACCAAAGAATGTAATACAAGGAAAGTTAATTGCAGTTGCGTATACTCTGTGTACATATTGAAGCCAGTTCTCTCTGGGCGGAATTTGTAAACAAGAATAGATGCCTCAGTTTTCGTCTAATATTCGAGGAGGTTAAAAGCATTGCATTTTGATAATTCACATAATAGTTTCCTATGACCAGAATATTTCATTGATTATTTATGTGAAAGATGGATCCCATGTCAGGCTTCGACATCCGTCTTGTGTTTACATTACCACCCAGAGACAGTACACTGCAGTACAAAAGATGCGTACACCTCTGAAATAACTTTCCTTGCATTCAATACTTGAACTTACCCATCATATTGATCCATCGAGAAGTGTTTGGAACATACTTTAAAATATACCACTTTGTTTGGCAATCTCCGATTGTACTTTATTGCTAAACTCCATTTTTCCATCTGAGCTCTGCTCAAGGGATTATGCTTTACAGTGGAGGCGGAGTTACATCCTGCCACCCTACAATTATTTACCATTATTCTGAAACATGTAATATTTGAATTTATATAATCAAGATTAACCAAGACCATGGATGTCTGTTGACAAATGTTGAACTAAAGTTTACTTCAAACTATCAGATATTTAGCTACTCGACTGAAATTGCCCCCTCTAATTTTTCATTAAGATCAGATTGTGCACATTAGAGGGCCTAGAAGCGTAATGTTTAAGTGACCCTCTATGCAAAAATGGCAAAGTCCGATTTACAATGGTACCCTTAAAAGCTTTGTCTGATCAAGTATGAATTAGATATGAATGTTCATAAATTCGAAAACTGATTATTTTCAATTGTGGGTTCTCTACAACACACTTTTAATCTAGAAAAAAGATAATATCTTTCCCATTATTGATCAGATAAAGGTTTCAAGGGTACTGTTGTGAATCAGACATTGCCATCCTTGTTTGGAGAGTCACTAGAAGTAACGCTTACAGTCCCTTTAAATGTCCAATTCACAAAGGTACCCTTTAAACTTTTATCTAATCATTATTTCGAGCATTTTAAATTGCTGAGAGCAGGGAGGAAATGGACAGAATTAACCTTACGTAAAGGTTTCAAGGGTGCAGTGGATAAATCTTTAAATAAAGGGTTTACTTGAAATTACTCTAAAGCGAAAACAAAATTTAAATGATCCTCCTTTAATAGAGTGGCATTCAGGTTGAAAATATTATATCCTGAAACCTCTTAATCTTAGCAACAAAGAGATAGATTTCTTCGTTTTTCTATCTTTAAACATTTTACTTCCTTGTCTCAATAGCATAAATCCGTAAGACATTTATAAAAAGAAACCACAATTTAATATAACTAATTTTCAGAGGGAAACTGAAGGATGTCATGCCTTATTAATTCTTGATCAAATGGTTTAGAGTACCACTGTGAATCAAACGTGCTATTCTAAAAATGGAAATTATGTCTATAATCGATCAGTATTCATGAAGAGGATCAATCCCAGTTCTTTCATCATCATCATCTCCACTTTCAGGTTCTCGTTTCACAAGATCAGGTTCAGATTCTTGTTTCACAAGATCAGGTTCAGATTCTTGTTTCACAAGATCAGGTTCAGATTCTTGTTTCACAAGATCAGGTTCAGGTTCTTGTTTCACAAGATCAGGTTCAGGTTCTTGTTTCACAAGATCAGGTTCAGGTTCTTGTTTGACAAGATCAGGTTCAAGTTCGTGCTTCAAAGGATCAGGTTCAGGTTCATATTCTACAAGATCAGGTTCACATTGCATAAGTTCAGGTTCAGATTCATATTTAATTGGATCCAGCTCAACTTTAATGTTAACAACGGGCTCCTCTTTCCCGCTATGATGTTTTCTGATGTGCACTTTCAAAGCAGATTTGAACGTACCGTTATAATCACATTTATCACAAGGATATCTTACACCTTCATGTTTACTCTGTTTATGCACTTTCAAATGTGTTGAACGTGTTGCGGCATAATCACATTGATCGCACGAAAATCTAACTTTTTCATGCTTGCTCTCCTTGTGCTTTCTCAAATCTAACAAACGTGTTGTTGTATAATCACAAATGTCACAGGGGTATTTAACCCCTTCATGTTTACGGTCTTTGTGCTCTTTTAAATATGATAATTTAACCGCACTATATTCACATTTATCACAAGGATACCTCACTCCCTCGTGTTTTGCCTCCGTGTGCAGTCTTAATTCACGTTTCCGTGTTGCTGCAAAACCACAATAAACACAGGGATACCTTACTCCTTCATGTTTGCACTCCTTGTGTTGCCTCAAAAACGATGGTCTTGTTGTTGTGTATTCACACTCATCACAATGATAGTTTCGCTCCATCTGCATTCTGCAAGTAACACCAGAATATTAGTTGCAGCTTTATATTAGAAGAACAGAAAACATTTTTTGTACTTATAAGAACTGTAAGCGTAATTTCATGTGACCTTCCATGCATGTTCGATTCATAACAGTACCATTTAAACATTTGTCCGGACAATGATAAGGTGGATACCTTTATTTGAATAGCTGAAGATTGAGTGCCGGGAGACTTGAGGTTACAATGTACATTGTACACTGTACTCTCCGTGCTAGTGTACACTCGCGCGGTTTCTTGGCACTTAATTTCCCGCTTTACAAATAAAATATCTACGAAATCTTTGATCGAGAAAAGGTTTAAACGGAATCGTTGTAAATCGGACATGCCACTCTATAAATGGAAATTACACTTACAGCTCCTTTAAGTAAGATAAATCAAATGTTTAGTGATTAAATAATTTAAATAAAAGAGACTGTCAACGTAGTTTCAAGTATCCCCCATTTAAAATTCACATATTCATGTTTTCTTTTAAAATTGATAATTTTATATTGCGGCACAACAGATCTTCATCCAAGTGACTATGTATTTACACAGTGGAAACATAATACAACTTTGCAAATAATCTGTTTTCAAGATTAAAAAAACGACAATTTCTTCCTTATTGCTTTTCAGAAAATTGTTCCAAGGTTATTGTTGTAAATCAGGCAGGCAACTCTTTTCTCAGAGGTTTACTTGAAATTACGTCTACAGTCACTTTAACTGTTTGACGGTTTTCAACTAATTGTTTAAAGAAAATGAAAAAATTAATTTTATAAAATTTTATAAAATATCAAAACTTTACTATTAAAAAAAAGCTTAAAATACCTGAGACCAAAACCAATCTAAGGAACAAAGTGTTAGAGAAGCGAACAGTCATTTATTCTGAAAAGTACACAATGGAGAAATCTTGAAAAAAAAAATACAGAAAAAGAAGCCAGTCAGGCCACATTTCAAAATGAAGAAAATGTCGAAAATAAAAACAAAGAAAAACTAATGAAAGAGAAAAAATCGACCAAAGAAAAAAATGTAATTTATTTTTTATCTTGATGTACTAGATATTCGTAAATATTGACTTAAATACTTTTGAATATTTATTTGCTATAAGCATCCTTATAAATATCATGACATCAATGGGATCTGTGGTCGTATTTTTGAGTACTCGGCGTCAAGGACTCGGTCAAGTTCTTGTTCTTAGACCTTTCCTGGACCAGATAACCTTCATTCAGTGGTACATATATTCATATGTTTTCATAAAAAATTCTTTTGAAGGGATATCTATTTTTATTAATTACTCCGGCCCAATTGGGAATGATTTTCCATGATGTGCAGGAAAACATTTAAAAAAAATTGACATGAAATGGCAAAATTTTACACCATTTAAGATGCTTAAAACCAGAAACAAAATCTAGCATCGGGGGAAAAATAGTCAAAATGGGGATGGGGAAAAAATTATTTTTCAAGAAAATATTTATCAATGAAAGTTTAATTACATCTACTGATTTATTTCATCGATAATCTTAGACAACTTTTAAAAAAATGTTTGTACTTACAAGTTACAGACAACTGAAATTAAGAACAAAAAATTGAAAAATTATCAAAATTGATGCATGATGGTTCATGATTTATTTAACTATAAAGCACTCTAGGATGAAAGTAAGAGGGAGGGTATAAATAAATGTCCGGGGGGGGGGGGGTGAATATATATCCCTGCCTTGAATTCCGCAACTAAACAGCAGTTATCTGTTTCCTTCATGTACTACTGGAGGACAAAAAATACAATCCAAATGTTTACATCTCCTTAAATTAATAAAATCAATTTTCTTTTCAAATAAATGTTAACATTTTTACGAGCAATGCTTAGCTATATTCAGGGGTATTTTAGCAAATTCAATTTAAGATAAGGATAAATCATCCTTACTGTTCTTAATAAAGACGAAATAAAAAAGTTTTCAAAAATTTTAAGATACAATCCTATAAAGATATCCTTGCTCCTCTATCTAAAAATTGATAATTTAAAATTGTGGCTCCTCTTTAAAACTAAACTGCGGATTTTTGCAGAAAAAAACAACAAAAATGATATTGGCAGGATTTATCACTTTCTCTGATAGAAAAATTTCTATATTTTCCCAAATAGATTATCACAATAGGTGGCAACAGAGAAATTAACCAATTATACACTACGTCACAAGTGTCAAATATAACAAGGAAAACGAAATTTTCTCAAGTTAATTGACATGTTTTCCAAGATTAAATAAAAAAGTGTAAAAACAGAAACTAAAGAACACATTAAATTGCACTTATTTTACTGTAAGAAAACCACTTTATTCTAAAATTATCACTATTATTGATGATTTTGTCGGACACAAAAACTGAATTGACACTTGTGACGTAAGAATACAACTGTACTGAGAGTGTACAAATTCTACATTGCTATCTATTTGATATTTTCCTCATTTGTTTAAGGGTCCTATTGTAAATTCCAGCCTACAAGGACTAAACAAATTGCTACATCTTTGGATTGTGATTTAGTCAATAAGTAAAACAAAATTGAGTTAACTCCGCGTTAATCCAAGACGATTCTAAACTAAAATTTCATCATGAATGATATAAAAAAGATGAATGACCTGTTCTTGGTAGAAGATCAAAACTAAGGCAGGCTTTCAGTTCACTGAGTAAAACAACTTCTTTCTTTTCTTTTCCTTTCCGTCCCATCCTTTCTTTACCAATCCGTTTTTTCCATTCCATCCTTTCTTTTCCATTCTGTTCCATCCTTTCTTTTCCATTCTGTTCCATCCTTTCTTTTCCTTTCCGTCCAATTCATTTACTTCGTTCATCATATTATTCTGAAACAAAAAAAGGATAACTTTAGTTATAAAAATATTTATTCATGAATTAATCATTTAACATAACGTAACACAAGTTTATAAAAACTGAATATTTTAAATTTTCCCGAAATTTGCGGGATTTTGATCCCGCCTATGCTCACTAGGTATAGGCTGACCCGTCCCTGATCCAGCAGCAGCAGCGGTCAATTCCAAAGCTTCCCTACACAATAAAGGGATTATAATAAAGGAGTTATCAACCCTAGACCTTCCCTGAACAAAAAAGGGATTATAATAAAGGGATTATAAACTCTACGGCTTCCCTACACAATAAAGGGATTATAATAAGGGGATTATAATAAAGGGATTAAAAACTCTGGAGCTTTCCTACACAATAAAGGGATGATAATAAAGGGATTAAAAACTCTAGAGCTTCCCTACACAATAAAGGGATTATAAACTCTAGCACTTTCCTTTTCTAAAAAATAAAGGGATTACAAAAAAAGGGATTATCAACTTTAAAGCTTCCTAAAAAATAAAGGGATTATTAACTCTATACAATAAAGAGATTATAATAATGCAAGAAAATCAGATCGATAAGTTTACTACCATTAATTAATTTATTAATTAATTTATACATCAACTTGTTATCTGATTTTCATTCATTATCCATTTGAAAAGGCGTTTCTTTTATGATGCCTGTACACAGTAAAGTGTGTAACACATAAAACTTTTGAATTTGAGGACACTTTTAAACTCATGTCATGATTTGTATTATTTCAATGAACATAATAGTTAAACAACGATTATGCAGTTTACATTATACCAGGGAATAAGAATAAAGGGGAAAAATGGCGCTGTTCTGACATGAGAAAGCTAGTCGCACAGCTTTGCAGACGAATTCGTTATTACACACTCACACTCTTTGGTACAGACACACAACATGACTACAGTCAAGGAAATTGCAGAACAATGTCGTCAATTATAATTAAGTTTGAATAACGAGTAGTTTATTGTAAACTTCAATCAAATTATATTCTTTGCATTAAAATTTGGCTTTATAGTGTTGACTAATATATGAATAATATAATTCATTAAAATTTGGCTTGAGTGTTTACTTAAATGTATAAATAATATATTTCATGTATATTAAACTTATTTTTAAGTAAACTACAAATACCGAAATTCTTATGTATTTATATGCCTACAGTACACGCCTTCGGTTCGGTATTACTTACACACACCCTATTCGTACAGACACACATACATGACGTTTCCTCCCCCTGCATTATACAGACCCATTTCACTTAAATAGATGGTTAGTTAATTTTGAAGCTATTGTAAAACTATTTGCTTTATTACAACATGAAAAACAAATTAGATTCTAATTGTCGTTTTCATATTCCACAGTTTGATGGGTCACACTGTGGCTGTGTAGGCTATGTACAGTGTACAGTGTTCAGTGTACAGTATACAGTGTACAGTGTACAGTGTACAGTGTACAACAGTGTATATACCTTAGTCTCCTAGCTGACCACAGGGACATATCACGTGGTACGTTTATCCTTTCCTTTATGTACCGTAGCCCAACATCACATCCTACAATATATCGTATATATAATATATTTAACAGCACTCTCTGTTTGCTTGTTTTGATGTCTGATCATAACTCAGCAACCCTTAAACCGATTTGCATCGAAATTTACTTAGAGAGCTCGGGAGAACCACGGAAATGTTTTTGGCATGCTAAGTTGAGTGGGTTAACTTTTGTAGGGAAAAACAGCATAAATCGTAATTTACGACCAAGCGCGGGTAAACTGCGGAAGTAACCCGGGCAACGCTGGGTTTCCGAGCTTGTATTATAATACAGCACATATTATGATATTTCAGTCATAATCGATAAAAAGCGGAACCAAAGTCGTCTTTTCATAACTTTAAATGATATGTCACATTTATAGCTTTGAAAATGTGCTATGTACAATTTGAAAGATAAACCTGGAGGGGGTGTAATAAGTTGACCGGAAAGTAGGTAGGTTAGAGCACATCTTAGTCCTTCATCAATAGTTTCATCTTTACAGGGGTTCACCTGCCACAGAGAACGTTACATGTTAGTGAGCACGTTTTAAAGGGTTTCCCCTGGACACAGAACGTTAAATTAAAAAAGCACGTTTTTGGGGATTTACTTGCACTCAGAAGACTTCAGTGTTTAAAAAAGAACAGCTACAGAGGCTGTACAAGGGGGGGGGGGCAAAGCCCGTGGGGACTAAGCCCCACCTGAAAAAAGGGGCAACGAAGAAAAGAACTATGTGTAATAATAGTTTAAATATATTTGAATATTTATTCATAAATGAATTAGAGGATTTATAGATTAGAAGACCAGATATATGAGAAAATGAATAAATGGATGAAGCAAGGAAAATACGAATAATTACAATAAAATGAATAATTCAGTAAAAAAAATAAAAGAAGGGATAAATAAACAAATAAAGGATGAATGAAAAGAGTGAATGAATGACGGGATGGATTAATAAATGAATAAACCAAATAATAGGATGAAAGTTTGAATGCATGAAAGGATGAAAATATTATAGTATGAATGAAAAATGCAAAATATAACTATAAAAGTGAGGATAAATTAATTAATGAATGAATGGGTGCGTGAAAGGATGAATAAATGAATGAATGAATGAATGAATTAATGAATTAATGAAAGGATGAATAAAAGGATGGATGAAGGGATGAATGAATGAATGAATGTATCTAATCTACCTGTAAAATATAGTCCTTGAACTTAAGAACTCTTTCAGCTGCTAAATATTTATTCTCCTCCTTCTCCTCCACACTGCTCTCTGGTAGACTTAATAATAATGATAATAATAATAATAATCATAATAGTGATAGTTATATAATTATGATGATAATAATAATAGTAATGATAATAATGATAATAATGATAATAATGAAAATAATGATAATAATAATAATAAGAATAATAATGATAATAATGATAATAATGATAATGATAATAATGATAATAATTATAATAATGATAATAATGATAATAATGACAAAAGTGATATTTCGCCGGATGCCGAGTTGTTTTTTAGGCTTCAATAATGATAATAATGATAATAATAAGGGAAACCTGGCCCACCAGATTCTTTTTTATCTCATGAGGATTTAACGTATTTTGTAATAATAATATTGTCAATAGTAATTAAATCTTCTTGTAATAAATATTTGATTTGATGATGAAATAATAATATTTCACCAAATGCCGTGTTGTCCTTCATAAATAATCATATAAATCATAAAAATACTGATAATGATTTTGAACAATGTGCACCTAATACAAGTACAGGAATCTTCCCAATATTTACCTAATATCAGTACAGGAATCTACTCAATATTTACCTAATACCAGTACAGGAATCTACTCATTATTTACCTAATACCAGTACAGGAATCTACTCAATATTTACCTTATACCAGTACAGGAATCTACTCAATATTTACCTAATACCAATACAGGAATCATCTGAATATTTACATAATATCAGTACAGGAATCTACTCAATATTTACCTAATACCAGTACAGAAATCTACTCAAAATTTACCTAATACCAGTACAGGAATCTTCCCAATATTTACCTTATACCAATATAGGAATCTACTCAATATTTACCTTATACCAGTACAGGAATCTACTCAAAATTTACCTAATATCAGTACCGGAATCTACTCAATATTTACCTAATACCAGTACAGAAATCTACTCAAAATTTACCTAATACCAGTACAGGAATCTACTCAATATTTACCTAATACCAATACAGGAATCTACTAAATATTTACCTAATAACAGTACAGAAATCTACTGAATATTTACATAATATCAGTACAGGAATCTACTAAATATTTACCTGAAGTCAGTACAGGAATCTACTCGATTCTTACACTCCTCCTGTTCTTTAGTCCCGTTCTAAATTCAAAAAGTAAAACAATTTTTTTTTCATTTGTAAAAATAAAAAGAAGAATATAGCGAGGATCTTAAAAACAGATAAGGAAAATCGGCATCATTATTGGCATTTGTTGGAAACTGGTCATGTGATCAGTGTCAACATTTCTACTGAGAGAAGCCCGGTTTCAGGACAATTCTACCCCCCCCTCCCCTCGCCCCCAGGTACCTCGTAGCAGCCTCCCATCTGAGGAGGCAGGTCGTGAACATGAGTGTGGAAATCGCTCTGCAAGGATTAGGATAAAGCAAAATAAGCAACACATTTTTTGGTCGTTTTTTTTTAACAAAATTGGATACTTAAGGTTGGATAATCTCGCTTGCTAGATGACAAACATTTATCAAAAAATCGAAATTTGCACAACTTCTGTGTTTCATAATCATTGGACAATTAAAAACTTGTATCTTAGTCTTAAATTCGTCTTATTATTCACAGTTTTGTGGGCCCTTCTGTACAGTGCAAGTAAATGTACAAAAAATAGAATTATTTTTCAGTTTCTTTAAAGGAGTATGATGCTATTAAATATGCTTTATCTTCCTGAGTTCCCATATATGTATCCCTAAAAAAAAATATTAAAAAAGTTGTTTTCATTTCTGAACAACAATTATATCATCCTTCCTCCAAATGTTCTCTCCAGCAGGTTAAAAACAGTTAAAAATTTAAAAATCATTTTTTTGATAAAATCTTGCAAGGTGAGGCCTTTTTTTTCCCTTAAGCTTTGAATATTCCCCCCCCCCCACCCCTTCTCCACCAGTACACCAGAACACACGTACAAGCATTTTTATGTACAATATTTTAGGAGTGTGTAGTATGTACTGCATTTGGAATTTCCATGAACATATTTAAAAACGTGGATAAATATTTACCACAAACAAACTTAGTACCTTGATTCTATGCCTGAAAACCAAGCAGTAAGGCCTGGAAACTTAGTTTTGTCGCGCATACTAAACCCTAGTAATTAATAAATTTGATTGATTGATTGATGGAAAAAATAACTAAACCGTTTAAATAAATGATGTTGGCTTTTCCTCCAAGCGGCAACTTCCCAAATGTGCAATTTCCCAAGCAGCAACTTCCCAAGTCTGTCCTAGCCGCAGCGCTCGGACCCTAGCCCATCCTAGCCACAGCATTGGGCCTCTATTACAGTCTGCGGCGCCTCAGAAGGCCTAATTTAACCTTTGGGAAGTTGCCGCTGAAGAAATTTCACAATTGGGAAATTGCCAATTGGAAAGTCGCCCTTGGGAAAATACCTTTGGGGGAATACCTAACACCAAATAAATATGTGAATACTGAATTGAATGAATAAATAAATAAATTAAAAAATAAGTTTATTGATTATCATGTTGCAATAGTTAACTGGAAAAAAATCATCATGACCTTAGAACATAAATTGGATTAAATTCAAATTAATATTTTTTTAATAATATCAACGGTGACTAAGTGAGACCCATTAAACTGTAGAATAAGAAGACGACAATAAAGCAATTATTTGTGAATTTGTTGTTGTCCCAAGTCAATTAGTTTTAAAAATTAACTTATTAATCATTAAAATTTAGTCAAACAGTGGTCTTCATATTCCCCAGTTTTATGGGTCTCACAGTTCAAAGTTTCTTCTACCTTTATAGTAAAACAGACTTGCATGCATTCTTTCTACATAGGGGATAAATATAGAGTCCACTACGGAGAATTCAGCTAGGAAGTATGGACCTTAAAGAAATAAAATTCATTATTATTATTATCATTATTAAAAGACAATCCTGCATTCGGTGAAATAGGGGTCGGCGCTCCTAGCCGCCGAAACATATGAAATACTAAATATTAGATAACTAGGTTACCAGCCCCCCTTTCTTAGCCTTTAAAAGTTGCTTAACCTAAAACCCTTTGTTTTAAAGACTGTAAAAACTTTTGATTTCACAGATTTCCCTGTTTCAAAAATGTTAGATTTTCAAAATCTAAATTTTTAGAGGCACTTTTTTTTCTCGATTGCCCATGGGGCCTTATCTGGTGGGAAAATATCAATGATGAGGAAATTAACGATCCTAGACCAAATAATTAGTTCCTTGTGAGGGGGCGGGCGGGGGTGGTGGGAATTTAACTTCTACGCCTTTCTTTTCTAAAAATTGTCTTTTAAGTTTTCACCTGGGGTTTCTAAGAGTTTCTGGTCAACTACCTATATTAAAGAATATCATTGATTTTTAAATTGAATTTTAAAATTATTTTAGAAATAATTCCGTTTGATGATTTATCAAAACATATTTCTGATTTTACTTTATTTCTTTTCAGACTGTAATTATTAAAACTGTAATTATTAAAACTGTAATTATTAAAAAAAAAAATTTCAAAAATTAGAAAAAGAAATGAAATAAAATACCTTAAGAACAGAAATAAAGTTATCTCTGCTGGCATTATCATCAGTAATATTTCTAGAAGGATAGCAGAGCCACCTATAGACAGAAAATACAATTAATAAAGGTATCTCTATTAGCATTATCATCAGTAATATTTCTAGAAGGATAGCAGAGCCACCTATACACAGAAAATACAATTAATAAAGGTATCTCTACTAGCATTATCATCAGTAATATTTCTAGAAGGATAGCAGAGCCACCTATAGATAGAAAATATAATTAATAAAGTTATCTCTACTGGCATTATCATCAGTAATATTTCTAGAAGGATAGCACAGCCACCTATAGACAGAAAATACAATTAATAAAGGTATCTCTATTAGCATTATCATCAGTAATATTTCTAGAAGGATAGCAGAGCCACCTATAGATAGAAAATATAATTAATAAAGTTATCTCTATACTGGCATTATAATCAATAATATTTCTAGAAGGATAGCAGATTCTCCTATACACAGAAAATATAATCAATAAAAATCAAAGTTAAAATTGATATAATTAATGTTGATTTATTGATTCATTGATTTGTTATTTTTGAATTTCGGGGGTTCTACTTTGGGTCCTCTTTCATATCTACATTTCATTTCATTGCATCTTTATAATAATATAATAATTTCATTTGTTTTCAGCTCTTAAAAAATTTAGTTCTTTACTAAGCATTAATTGTCTTTAGAAGTAGTTTTTGAATTAGAATACTTTTGAAATAAATTTATAATTTACCATACTTAGGATTTAATTTTGATTTGTGAAATAAATTGATTAATTGATTGATTAATTGATTGATTGATTGATTAGCTGTACCTGCACCAAGCATTGAAAAGTTTTCTCTCAAGCTTCCTTAATTCATAAACTAAAAAATATTATATGTAAAAACAAATATGTAAAAACAAATATTATATGTAAAAACAAATATGTAATAAAAAATACTATATGTAAAAACAAATATGTAATAAAATATTATATGTAAAAACAAATATTATATGTAAAAACAAATATGTAATAAAAAAAGTGTAGGACATTTTTTATAATAACATCTTTAAGGCATATTTTAAAATAAGGATTTTAAGACAATCTGATTTTCCATCGCTGACATTTTGTGGGGGAACAGTGTGAAAAAAGACGGCACGCAAAATAATTCAAAAAATTTTTAGACTGCTCTGTAATAATTTAAAGTTGTCCAAGCTATATTAATTGACCCTCCATAAAATAGAGTTAAATAGAGTTAAAACCATTTTTTATAATTAAAACTGATGAAGAGATAAATTTGTTTTTCTAGATTAAAAAATAACAATTTTCTGTTTGTATTTTCTCCCACATATTCCTAAAATGAATTGAACTTATCCTTCGTGTCCTGCATTGATCTGTATAAAGGACAGAATTGAACTTACCCTGCTTGTCCTGCATTGATCTATATAAAGGACAGAATTGAACTTACCCTGCTTGTCCTGCATTGATCTGTATAAAGGACAGAATTGAACTTACCCTGCTTGTCCTGCATTGATCTATATAAAGGACAGAATTGAACTTACCCTGCTTGTCCTGCATTGATCTGTATAAAGGACAGAA